CTGGTCCCATCAGGGGTCAGGACCAACTCGTCCTCCTCTGTCTTCTGTAAGAGGCGGAGCAAAGATTGAGATATGGAGCCCAATTTACAGAGCGAAAGCAACCCGACCGGCGACTACAAAAGAACTTTTGAAAATCCGCCGAGACAGAATCACATTTAAATACATCTAAATGCTCGTACACCGTAATAAATATTTAATCATCCAAACCAAAAACATTCATGCATTTCGCCTAACCAGTAAAGCAAACACCCCTTCAGCCTTGCCACACTTTCTCCGTCTTCTTGGGGTTAGCAAAAGTACAAAAGTTAAAAGGACATTCATTTGGTTACTTGAGGTTAATGAAAAGAACCTGCATATAATTTGCAGCAGGGCAGTTAGCAGGGAGGTAAATCAGAGTGCAAGCTCATTATCTACAACTGATTTATTAGTGTTAGACTACCAGTCTTAAGTGTTAAATCAGGTGCTTAGTATATGCAGGCAGAGACTTCTGTTGTATAATTAAGGCACACGGCTCTCGTTACTCAACTATGAACCAGATAAATTAAGGAAATATCCATTCTGACATCAAAATGGCATCTTATAATAGTTGGGATGTGATGTGTTAGCTTGGATCTTTGGTGCCAGTGAATAAGCTGCAGTCCCGTCTCCTACACTGGAAAAATTTTGGAGAAGGATTGTAGCCCGCTCCAACAAATGAGAAATGACATAACACTAACCTGCTTCCCATCCACCAACGACAAACACTGCACAGTTATATGAAGCTCCACAACAGCCAAGATCTTGGCTAACTGAACACTTCTGTCATGTACTTGAAAGCGCAGCGTGAATCAAAGCAAATGCAATTGGAGAGCATTTACTGTGAAGCATCTGCAGGTACACAACTAAGAAGTGTTCAATAACTGCAAATTTGCCAGTGCGTGTTTCTGATTAGATTACTGAGTATATACTGCATCTATATTGTGATTAATGTCAGCCTTATGAGGTGTTCAAGCTCAGTCCAATATGATTATCTCCTGTTAATTTCAAATCATTAAAGCACAGATGCACTCCAGATCAACGCCACAACTACATTTAGTGTTTGAAGGACACGGAGACTCCAAATATGGCCAACAAATGTCAAGACGTACTCTTCTTAAACATCCCTGTATACTCAGGACTCAGGCCTCACCTCAGAACTAAGAGTTGTGGCTTAGATATTAAGTCACAGCTGAATATTTCCACTAAAAACGTCTGACTAAAAGTGTTCCTATAGTAAAAAAAAGCACAAACTTCGCACCTGAATCATGATGCCAAGTGCGTCAAACAGGCAGTAAACTTCCCAGTAACCCCGCATGAACACAGCAGCCTAATTGACATGCTGAGTGCTCTCTGTCTCTCTCTCTTCCCCTCCACAACAGGTGCTTCTCTCACTCTTTCTCTAAATTCATTCTCCCTCTCTCTTCCAGCTCCAACAATAAAAAGCTATTCTCTCTTGCTTGTTATTTGACAGCTGTCCTCTGAATAGATGGGTGCGTGCACGCTAGCGCCTGGCAATTATTGTGCACGCCTAATGAATTCAATCATCGGGCTCGGTGTCAGCATGTCATTAGCTCCCTTTGTTTGCTGGGAGAGAGATGGAATTACTCTGGGTGCAACCGGGGAGGGAGAAAGAGGGATGGAGGGAGAGGCAAAGTGGCGGAGGAGGAGGGCAAAGTGAGGATGGAGTAAAAAGGACGGGGAGGGAAGGGGAGGAAGGAAGGAGGAGGAAGATAAAGGACAAGGAAGCACGAAGAGCACCGTCAGGGTGTCTGCGTGTTTCAGAAAGACAAAAGAACGCTACCTGGAATAAAGTTGTGAGAAAATTAAAAACAGAGCACGAGTCGATTTGATACGAGTGCTGCGGAATAATAAAGACAACAGGAATTTAATTATTTCGGTGCAATTCATTCTGCTGGAATAAATTTAAGGCTAATTAAAAAGTGACTCCTGAGCTGCGAGTAAGTGAATAAGAAGAAAAGTGAAGTCACAATAGAACTGATCTGTAAATGAGGTTTTATTTCAGGGCTGAAAATAGCCTCCTGTTCCCTTTTAGATTTAAATCTAATGGTTTGATTGAATTTAACTGCCATATTTCATACAGCGTTATGCAAAACGTACAAGATAATTGGACTGGAAAGTATATCTGGTAACCCTGAGAGCAAAAAAAAAAAATGGTAACGTCGGAGATGCTCCAGAGTCTTTTCGCCTTTCCAAAACACAAAAGAGACTGGAGAGCCTTCCAGCAACGGCAGTTAACAGTTAGTCTGGTAGACATAGTTAAGACTGATACTGTATCCACAGATGGCAAACTCAGCTAAAAATCAATTAATTAATTAACTAATCAGTTAAGCCTGTTATTTTAAATGCTATAACTTACTGCATTTCTAGCTAATGCTGGTCTCTGTTAGCTAAAACGTGCTTGCTCATCAGCTGGTACCACCAGTTTTTGATAAAAGAGGAATTAATTGTACTTTTTCTTCCCTAATGGCACGGGCATGCTCCAGCCAGGATTCATCAGGATCACTTCTGAGAGCACGAGACTTTTTTTTACATGCATCGGCCTCCACAGGGTCCAAAATCTCGGCCAACATTAATACAAGAACTTGTCAAAATCAGTGCTCTTCTGGATGGAAATCAATGTTGTGATATTGCATATGATTAGCAAGATCATGTCACAGCAAATGCTGTCATTTAAGCTACAGATGCTTCTAATAACATTGTAGGGAGGGGGCTTTGTATTGTGTCTTTTTGTAGGTATTAACAGTCATTAAACCATCACAGGCTTGTTTACTGCATTTGCAATGTTGATTTTACACATTAAATGCGCACTAGCAAATCATTTCCACCACCAACCAACACAATTATGGTTTAATCTGGAAATGTAATGAATATTATCTTTGCAAAAACGAAACCTTGGGCTTCTTTATTTTGAAGACGATGTCAAAATCTTATTTTTGCCATTTAACTTCATTGCTGTTCTTTCTGGAACCAAATGATTGATGAGACTCATTCAGCATGCAATATGTGCACTTCACACCACAGGGCTCAATGTGCTGTTTGATGCAGTCACAAAGGTCAGAGCAAAACAGTTAAAGACTTCCAGCAGTGTTTCAGTCTGTGCCCTGCACCTCTATTCTCCATTACTGAGAGGAACAAATCAAAAGATTTTCTCTGATGCTCTTACTACAATCTCGAAGCTCAATTATATAATTCAGTCACTTTACACCTATAATATCAATTTTCCCTCGATCCCTGCACACCGCTGCGTGGATGCCGTCTTTCCATTGGCTGCGAGGGCAGCAGTCACAGCTTGAGCGAAGCAGTGTAAATAATGGGTTTCAGAGCGCGCCACTCACGAGGCATCCTGCGTGACAGCACTTTAAACAGGCAGCGAGTGGGCCACAGATCAGGTATGGTACCATCTGTGGAGAGAAGTCTGTGGAGCTAAGATTAGCATAAACCGAGAGCGGCTACTTTTTCCTTTTTTTTTTGGAAAGGAGCTGTGGGTCAGCCTGGGAAAAGTTCTGAAGTACATGATTTTACCACTAAGGCCAACTGTGGGCATCAAATGCTCCTACTCCTACTACATCCTTGTTTACAGTGTGTAAGCAAAATTATAAGTAACATTCTGATCCTTGTTTTATTACTATGTATAACAAAGTTACAACCTTCTGATAACCTATAATCTAAATTTGAGTCATGATCCAAAATATTTATCTTAAATTGGACGCAGTGTACCAACTATTAAATAAAGCTTAATTGTTGTTTTTCTGAGATCCTGAATTATCTAACTGATTATTATTGTTATTAAGACCAGACAGAGAAAATACACCAACAAGAAAATCAGAAGAAAAAAACCGACACAGGCACAGGAGGCAAAGAAGGTTCAAAGTGAGAGGAGCTGAATAAAGGTGATGGAAAGGAAAGTAGCGATGGGCTTGAGGAGGGATGGGGGGGAAATGGATGGGGGGGAAATGGAGAGGGTGGAAAGGCGAGGAGCCGAAAAGAAAAGGGTGAGAAGAATGAGAGAGTGCGAGCATGACAATGACAGAGTGAGCGAGCGAGGGAGTGTGAATGAAAGGCCGACAGAAAGGGATGAATCCATGTGGAACACAAAAGGAGAGACACTGCCACCTCTCTCACTGCGCGCCTGTATCTCTCACTCTCTCCGCTTTTCGTATTTTTATACTGCTCTTTCACATTTATTTATTTTTTAAATCTCCATCTCCTCATCTCCTCCCTGTTTTGTGCCACCTCCCTTCCCCAGCTTCCACGTACTTGTTCTTCCGTCGCCCATCTCTTCGGCTCCTCGTTTCGCCCTCTTATCATTTATTCCTACGAGCACACCCGACATTAAAACATCTAAATTTGAGGAGCCATCGTTTTTGCTTTTATCCTTGACGCTAAAGTAGTGTTTGTGCCACACGGAAAACGATCTTTTCTCAAAGTACTGTGCAGAAAGATGCACTGGAAAACGTGAGCCTCAAATTTGAACTCAGTTCAGATAAACACCGCTTAAGTCTGAAAACTCTGAAATCACAGGAAAAATGCTTTTTGTCTAGTTCACAGGTGGCATCCATAAAGTAAGCAGCTCCTTCTTTCTCAGTTATCCGACTTAAGAAATGGAAGAACTTATACATAAGAACAGCCACAGATTGATGGGACTGGAGTGTTTAAAGTCAGCACAGGTGAGGACAGTGAGTTGGACGAGGCTTTGAGGATTAACAGGCTTTAACTCAGAGCAATAACTTTTGTTTTTTGTTAACTGCTGACCAAATTTTGGCTGTAACATAAAACTTTATAGTTTGACACTTAA